ATTTGCTTTGATAAATTGTTTGGCTCTCTTAAAGAAAAGAAAAAGTCCCTGTTGCTATGCAACATCCTTTTACATCCTTTCAGCATCCAGCATAATGTCTGATACATGATTCTGGCTTAGCATAGAAATTTGAAAGTGCTGAACTTCATCCAATATACTGTTGCAAGTCTTGTTATACTAGGCAGTTTCATAAGGCTCCTACTGTTCCTTCATCTGGCTGACTATGTTCCCTTTTATTGGTTCTTTAATTGTCAAATTAGAACTGAGAAAATATGCAAATGTGGTCAACCAGCAATGTTAAACTTGTTTTTTCTTTTCTGTAAAAAGTAGACTATGCTAGTTTAAGTGTTTAGGTGATAGAAGCAGTTTACTTGCATGGCTGTATTAGAATATATATTACCCTATCAGACCTATCAGCAATGCTAGGCAAGTGCGCTACAATGTGTAGTGTATGCTCTGTACTTTACATTTATAAACTAGGTCCACCATATTTTCATATATTGCACACATTTTACTCCTTGAAGTATCTCCAGTGTCTGGAAGTTCATCCTTTTTAAAAACCTGTTTCTTCTCACCACTTTCTGGAGACACCCAACACAACAAATTCCCTACTGCAGCTTTGAGAGGGCTGAATATAATGGACGCATGAGTTAAAAGTGTCACCCATTATGTTTCAAGATCTGTCTGCATCTGAAGCGCTGAGGCAAGCTGGTGGCATATCAATAATAGCTTCCCAGTGCCACTATTAGAACATCCTCAGAGCACAAGCAAGCACTGATTGAAAAGAAGAAAGATAATGACAGTTAATAAGAAGGAAAGCTGATTAAGCCATGGCCAGGATCTCTCTCGTTGCCTCTGTGCTCTTTCTCTCCCTGTTTCTCTTGCTTCTGCTCTCCCGTTGAATCATTCTGTCACTATGAAAATTACTGGCTTGTCCTTTTGACACTGCCATGATTAATTGCAGCAACATGAAGGTGTATATGGACCAATGCATTATTGTTACATTTTTGAAAAGGTTTTGAATTCATGATGTTGGTGAGGTGGGGGCATTTTGGCAGTGAACAGAGTGCAGGTGCTCTCATCATAGTCTATTCACAAGGGAATGCAAAACCCTTCTTATGCCACTCATTACTGCCTTGGCATTGTATATGGGCTTAGAATTGCATATCTCTTTTTTTCTGGGTTAATTCATTTTAGAATGAAGTAAGTGGTTTGTGTCTGGTTTCATTGTTTGCACATATTGAACTATGAAGTATTTTGGGATTTATAACAGAGCCATGATTGATAATCACTTTATTCCGTGCAATAGCACTGTAAGAGAATAATAGAGCCGCAATGCCAAAGGCCCTCAAAAATCCTCTTTTACATGAGAGTGAACATTCCAGTCCAGGTCCTGGGGCAGCAAAATGCAAAATGTATGGCATAAGCCACTGTCATGACTACAGACTATATAATGCACCTAATCTCCTACATGATACTACAGATGTACTTTTTATCTTTTCCCACAACATGTTTGGAAATCAACCCATCATAAAAGATCAGAATTGATCAATAAGAAAAACAAGTGCATTCATCAGAACGCATAATATCCAAAAAGGTGATTCTTCTAAAGTCGTATCCAACAAAAGTGCCCATGTCACTTTGTGAAGCGTTATCATCTTTTGGAGGCATGCATCACAATGAGAGACATCCTCAGTGTTATTTTGGCTGCTTTATAATCACATGTAGAAAATTAATCAGTGTTTGCTCTCTCATTTGTACAGAATGAAAGAAGTGATGTGCTTTCCATTATCTCTGCCTGTCAAACAAGGAAATGTGGGAAATGGGATTTTTAGCAAATTAGTAGGTAGCTTAAAGAAAAACAGACCAAGACAGCAGCGATGGCAGATGTGTCCTTAATTGTGCATAGATTTTAGGATGAATTAGTTGGTTCAAATTAATATTTACAAGGACACAGGGTCCTGTTAGCTTATTTTGTTGCAGCACGAATCATGCAAGTAACCGTGTCCTATGTCTGTTTCTCCTTGCGTTCAGTACATTCAGAAATGCCATGAGATTGATTTCAGAGAACAGTTTACAAGATGTTAAATATTGGCTTTGGAAAACTTTATTCCACTCTTACAGATTATTTTAATCCTAAATCCAATTTGTTCAGCATATGATGTCTTACAAGTTAGCATTCTGAGCTTGAAATATTCAATAACGTCTCACAAATATTGGTATAAGACAGAATGTTTTTAAAGCTTACGCATTCTACTAATTTGCATTTAATATCCACAAAGTATGGCTCAGCAAATCAGGCACAAGTAATGCAGAAGTAGTATCAAGTGGAAAATGTCTCAAAATTGATGATGGTAATACTGTTTAACACTGAGAAAAATATTGTCACAATAAATATGACTAGTCTGTAATCATTTAGACAGCACAACAAATAATCTAAAAAGACTTGTGTCACTCAACTCCTCTTCGAAGACTTTCATATCGAATATGTCTATTTATATCGCTGTCTAAAGTGTTTCCATATCCATGTCCCACTGTACATACGATCTGTTAATGGGAGAGGAAAGGAGCAGAACTGCAGAATAATGAAACAGAAATAGAACTTTAGTTTCTCCCTGCAGCTACATTTGTGTCATTCATTTTATTCATGTCTTTGATAAAACATCCATTTATTCCTTTTCTTTTAACTAAACCAGACAGGTGACAAAAAACTTATGCTTGATATTTTGCTGGAAGTAACACCTCAATAATGTATTATTTCCAACATGTTGAGAGCTGACGTAACACAGGGCTCAGTGCACCCTGTTAAGTCATTCAGACATTTAATCAATATTTCTTTTATGGCTATAAATGAACTTGTCTGTTAATGTTTACGGAAACAAATCAGTTATCTAGGCTTACTGAATTAATTCCCTATTATACCAATCTATAGCCAACACAGGTGTTATTGTGTACCCACACCATTTTGTCCAACAAAAGCTCGAGAACAGGTGCATAGATCTTTCTAATCCGCACTGCTCTCCCTCCACCTGCTGTGATAATTAATGAGGTGCTGCAGTACACATTGACAAAAGCTTCTTCTCTACGCAAGTTGTTGAGTAGCTGTAGGAATTAGCAGCAGATGCAATAGGGTCATTGTGGATAAGGTTGATGTTTTCACTTCCCATTGTGCTATTGAATTTTAAGCTGTCACATGAGGTAGACTGGTAGAAAAATTTGGTGGAGGAAAAAGTGCCAATCACTACAACAACTGAAAGTAAGCAAACTTTGGAGAGAAAATTTGTTGTATCTCTGTACTGTAGGTGTTGTGCAGGTTTGAGCAACATCTGCTGTGCATTAGAAAGTTTTATGAGTAAGCTATAAATACCACAAAAATCCCCTGCAGCACAACACAGCTCATAATGATATTGTGTGTCCAGTAGCAGCAGGGCCCACGGAGGCAGCCTTGTCAATAATATTCATATTACAATTAACATTGATGTAACGGTGAATGTGACTCAAAAGGGTAAAGCTGTCCACTAAGTGTAAATATTTCAATATGACATTTGAAATGCTTTACTTTTGTACTAATTACTATAGTGTTAGGAAGCACTTTCTGTTACAGTTTGATAATAATGTCATATTAAAAAGGAAACAAGAAGGTAATAAGATGGAAGTAACAAATTATTGCCAAAAATCCAAATAATTGTCTTGTATCAACAGTGGTGCTGAGTAGTATTACATTAAAGTTTATTTAATAACAACAGGTAATAATAACAGGTCAGAAACTGGTGGTAATTAGGTGGAAATAAAATATGCCTATAAGACTAATGTGTGGTAATAACATGACCCAGGACTGCAAATTGCAACACTATTTCTTTTTAATTACATATTAGTAACCTATTAAAGCAAACTTCAAGAAGTGTGATGATTACCTGGAAACATTTGTGGTAGTTTCACATTGGGATATACTGGTAATTTAGAACTGACCTTTACCCCGATGTTGATGATGTTCTTCTTGTTGTTGGGGATGGAAAACATCCAGTGCTGTGCTGTCACTTTAAATGTAAATCGTTCTTTTTGCTGGAAGAGTCGTAAAATGTAAAGTTCCCTATTGCAAATATAATAAAAATTTACATACTAAGCAATGAACTGTAGAACTACAAATAATACTTTGAAAAAACTAAATTCAAATGACCAAAGGTTCCCCAAAGAGCTGCGGATTAAAATTTCTGTTCATTAACAGCACAAAAAATACCACAGGCTGTAACTACACAACCTTGTTTCAATGCTAATATCTGGAGGTTATGTGCAGAAATGGGAGTATGAATTCTCTATTGAGAGATAAGGCAGCTGGAGAAATTATGTGATGCATGAAATGCTAAGGAAACACTTGTAATATTCAGGGAAATCCCTGACTGCAGCACTAGCTACTGCAGAATGATATAGGAAATGAGACAATTCTCAAATTAAAACGCCATTATTCTATATGTTTAACAATTAAGAAAGGAAAGAAATAAGAATGTGAGTGGTGCTGTTATGATGATAAAACACAGAGAACAAAAACTGAATATTTTCACATTCTATACTGAATGTAATGGCTCTGTGGCAAAACAAAATTTACTGTGTGGGCTCTCTGTTCTTAATCTTTCCTGCCGATCTATTAATCCCACTGTATGCTGCTGTCCCAGCCAACAGCCAACAGACAGCGTAAGCAATAGGCTGTAACCATTCAGCTGCATTAAGCAGGTGAAACGACAGATATTGCGCTCAGTAGTTGTTGGCACCAAAATAGAACTAAAATGAGAATCAGTGTTGAAATTAATATGTCAATATTGTGTTTACCGCGCAGCTTGTGATACCTCCTAATGACCACATATTCTATTAGGGCAAAATTGAAGTCATGCATTTGTGTGTACTCTTCTGGTAAAGATAAAGTATCTAGTTAAATATGTCATTTTTTTTTCTTTTTTCCTCTCCACTCCATCTGTTTTTCTCTTTCAACGCCTCTCTGCCTAAAGGTATACTTTAAACGAGATGGTGAGCTGATAGAAGTGATCTCCTACACTCTACCGTCCGCCAACGACCAGGGGAGCAGCTCAGCAGGGGTGAGAGGAGCCAGGCCACTGATCAGCAGGGACCTTGATGACACTAAGTTACAGCGGTCCCTCTCCCTCTTGGATCCCGAAGGACGATCGCCCCGCTTGTACACAGAGAGCCCCCAACGTGTCCACACTCATGGACAACAGGCCTACGAACCCAGCCCTGCAACAGAGGTCATTCCAGAGACAGTAGTGAGCCGGGAGTTCCCCCGCTGGGTGCACAGCACAGACCCACTCTACTACTTTAGCCACACTCACATCCCCCAGAGTGATGGCTCTGTGGTGGTGCAGGCCCGACTTACTTGGACCCTCAACCCCCAGTTAGATAATGATGCCCTGTTCAGCTGCGAAGTGAAGCATCCAGCACTGTCCATGCCTATGCAGACAGAGGTCACTCTAGGTGAGTAGGATGCTGTCCAACTCATTGCTTTTGCATGCTGTACTCATTCCCACACAGACCTTTTGCTCATCTGTCCGCTTTTCCACTTCCCAGCCACCCAAAAAACCGCAAGACATACACTCGTTTCTCATTTCTTTTTTCTTTTAATCTCCTGCTGTCTCCTCGTATCCCGTTGCCGCACTTGGAGACCGACTGGGCCTCCTTATGTCTTCGTTGCAAATGTACTCAGAACAACACTGATTTTCATTTGATGCTGCTTAATTGTGTTACAGCTGAGCAGATTGCAAGTTTAACACTGAATGCAAAACTCACAGTGAATGACAGAGCAATTCATCGAGCTGTCTGTTGCTAGATTGAGTTAACTCAGGAGCGTTATTGAAAAAGTCAGCCTGAATTAGAGAAGTCAGATGAGAATTTAGACACACTGACCAACGTTTTATTATAGGAAAGGCACTCACAGAGATGCTCCACTTCTTCGAACCTCAGTGAAAACCTCCTTTAAGCTCTTCAGTAATATGCTTTAGTGTGTCAGAGACATAGTGTCTTAATTTTGCCGTTTCATCAGAAGGAGAAAAACGCAGTGGCATTAGGATTATTATTGTTTGAGCATCTGCAAACGATCAAAGGAGATGGAATAGCTACACAAATACTGATTTCAGAGAACAGGAGTCACACTTTATGGGAAAACTTAGCATTAAGTTTTAATAGCATCTGATCGAAGGGAGAGACACACATACTCTGACTTAAAAAATTTTGTTTTTGGGGGTTTTTTTAATTCCAAAAACAAAGATGGCATCCAGCATATCCAATTAACACTTCAAAGGCAGTACGTTGGCATCACACTCCTGGATAGAAGCCAGCAGTCGTAACATGATAAACAGAGACAATATCTTCCATGAAAAGTTAGCAGTGTTTGAAAGCAAAAGAGGCTCTGAATGAGGAGGCTGTGGCTGGCTTACCATTGCAGTGTCACATCCTCGCCTTTCATTTAATTAAAAGTCCCCATTTTCAGTGCTGGTGAGCAGCAATGGTTACATTGTTCATCTATAGGAAATGTTATTACGTTAAGTACTTAGAGAATGCATTTACAAATTAATTACCAACTTAAAAGTGGAAAATACAATGCATGAAGGAGATGATGTTTTAGTGTCAATATTTTTTTTAGCTTTACAAATACCCTGCCTCAATATTACATAAATAAATAAATAAATAAATAACAACGAATTTATTAATTTATTGCTTAATGGGTTTATCTTTTTTTCTTTTAAGTGCTAGACCAAACCTTCCAAAAGCAGTGATTCACCCAGAGACAAGAGTGTGAGGTTGGTGATGATGATTATTATGATTAAATCCAGGCTCCATTTTTCTTTCTTTAGTAGAAGAAAGAAAAAGGTTATCAGAATTGTTACTGTGAGAATAAAACTTCTACGGGCCAGAATAAAATATAGTTTTAAACAAAATGGTTTCGTAAAATCAATAACTTAGAATTGTAACTCACCTGTTCAAGGACAAGTCTGAAGGAAACAGAAAATTGCTAAAGTTATACTATTAAATGTCTGTTGCTTTTTCCTCTTCATTAAGGTGTTGGAAGTCTCACTGTGAACAAGCATAGATTATTGGCTGCAAACTGGTATGGATACAGAGCAAAGAGATCTGAATAAATGACACTGATTGACTGATTACAACTAAAGTTTTCTTAAATATCTGGGAGAGTGCAATGGGACTGTATGCAGTTCTAAAAAAAAATCAGATATTTTGTTAGTCAATACAACTGAAAGGTCTAGTATTGGGGGATCAGGCAGCATTGACTGAGGACATATATGGTACCTATAGAACAATTTTAAAATTAAAATTGTTCAAAATGTATTCATTTATAATATCTACACTGTATTTATGAACTAAATGGCAGGTCTGACACATGTAAATGGCATGTGTTGTTTGTTTGTTAAAGGGAGAATTTACAGCAACTTTTATAGCTGGTATCATGAGTTTAAAGACCCACATACAAGTAAGACAATGTTTTATGGAATAAAGGCTTTATCTTCTTGAATTTAAACCTGACAACATCCTATGAAGAAAGTAAAAATGTACTTTTTTGAACTATTCAAGTGTGCTATTAAGGGATATCTGTAAAGACACTTGCCATATATAATAAAAACCATAATAATGAATTTCTAGCTATATACAGCAAATTGATACTTTGAGTCACTTTCTCTCACACTCCTCTGACTCCTGTAATGGTTAGGCAACACATTATTCCTGAGGAAAAAAAGTTTGACAAAAATGTAGTGGGGATTTTAGGTTTAGTTTTATTTCCTCACAACTTGTATGCCAAAAAGACCTTATGCCAGATTCCATATGTGTATGTGGGTAAATAGGTTGAATCTGCAGGGCATCAATTAGAGGAGATGGGACACTCCTTTCTGTTGAAGCTTTTGGATCAGTTTTCTGTCCAGATTGACAAGGGAAGTGTTCATTTTAGGCAAAAATCATGTATATAGTGTATGGTATATGGTGGATTAATAATTAGTTGTGGACTGATTTTCCTGAATTTTTTGTTGGTGAGCATGTATTGTAGTTGTGATTTGCTCATTTTACGTTATTATAGAGCTATTTTATCTGTTAGCACACTATTTAGGTTCTTTGACATTTGTTTTTGTTGTTTTTTTATTGTTTGTTTTTGAATAGCAATAGAGTTCTAACAAAATAATAGAGGCTTCACCTGTCGTTGGCACTGTACTTATATCAATTTGTTGATGGTTTTAAACTTTTAATGGAAATCATTGATATTGAGAAAAATATGAAATATTACCAACCATATCCCTGAAGAGGATCTACTGTCTAACAAAGCCCTTTGGCCCTTATTTAAAAACCAATTGTTGCGACTGGCATTGTCACTTTTTCAAATGGGAATTTCTCACACCACAAAATCGTCTTTTAAAATGTAATAACTGTCACCCTCATCTCCCAAGTGAATAGAAATATAGTACATCACTTGCTAGAGGGAGGCAGGCGGCATCAGTTGAAGGTATAATGGCACGAGCTGTCTTCCCAAGACAAAGTATTGCTGTAAGGATTCTAACAGCTCTTTGCCTTTTTCGCATGTTGATAATACAGATGACACAACCTGGGGGAAATGGGCCCTGTGAAACTCTTGCTAAATGTCAAAAGTGTTAATATTTTGACAAGCCTTTCTGTGCTGTGTTTGAAGTCATTAATTTAGCACTACCTTTGTTCTTTTAAAGAGATGGAAGAAGCATCAGTAGAAAAAAGTGAGAACAGAAAATGTGCGTTTGTTGATTGTTGATTGAGCGTACTTGAAATTCAAAGCATTCACTGACCTGCTCAGAGCTTGATCCATCTTGGAATGGAAGAGTATTTAGGAAAAAAAGGTAATATGGTTGTGATTCACGTACCAAATTGTGTTGAATATTATTGCCAGACTAAATGGCACTAGGTTTCTAGAGTATATCAGTAACTCTAATTCAATGTGACTGTGTAAAACAGCTCACCTTAGGATTCTCATCGCTTACATACCCAGTTCATTTATTATGCAGTTGTAACTGGATAATTGCACTCATACACACACCCTCTTGGTTCTCTCAGGTGTGTTTGGTCAGGAAATGAAAGGGAGATCTTTTCAGTGCTCATAAGTAATAAATCTTTCAGAGATTTAATATCGCCACAGGAGACAGAACGACAGTCTGACAATCGACCAATGTTGTATCACACTTCATGAATATTCATGATTGGCTCTGTGCTCACCATACAAATGAAAATGAATCTGGTGCTGGTCTTCACAAGTCTAAAAAAGTGACTCACCTTTATGAGATCATGACCATTTTATTCATGAACGTCAGTTCATTCATGAACAGTGTATCCTAAAAATTAAAATAAGTTTTTGGCTTGGATTTATTAGAATATAATTAGACAAGAGATGGAAATGTCACCACACCCTACAGCAGTGAAAAGGACTCCAGGAATTTAAACAGTCCAGTCTTTGCTGTGCCAGGTCCTGATCATCAGGTGCTCCGTTTCAGGAACACATCTGTGATCTGTGTGTGCGTTTGCATGTCTGAATATTTATGAGGATTATGTGTGTGCATGTAATGTGTTGCAGTATGTCGCTATGTTGTGACTTTGTTCAACTGCAACATAATTCCATGGTCATCAGTCTGTCTTATTTTAGTGTTTTTAGCCACCTAGTGTGTAAGGTAACTATAAGAAACACATAGCATGGGGCCTGATTCATCATGATGGTACAATCTGGCAGTCAGTCAGGCCTCTAAATTCAGCTGCAAGCCTCTTCACCTTCTCTTTCTAAACCGAACCAGTCACCCGGCTAATACGGTAGGTTCCCTTCAATGGTTTAAGTCTGGTGTACAGCTGGGCAGACCTGTTGATTCCTTCTCTTGATATTAAAGCACACCTGATGCATGGTGTGCAGTTGCTTTTCTGGAGGGCATGTTTATTCTCTGACCTCTCTTAAAGTCATAACAGTTCTTTCTTTAAGAAGTTGGGCCTCAAGTGACATTAGGTCTCATGGGACCGTGGCTCATTTCTCCTGTGATGCCCTCACCTCAAAGAAGCTGTATCATGTCCATCACGCTGCATGCTGCCATAATCAAAGATGGTGACGTAGGACGCCAACTGTCACTGCTGGAGCAAATCCCAGAAATCGGCCATCATCTTCCCAGCCATATGCCTGGCGAGCTCTATGTGACGCCATGACACCAGTATTTAAAAATACCCTTCTGTTAGTGTGTAGGAGGTGGAAATACAGTGCTTCACACTACCATGCCAAAACTAGCCTGTTAAATGCCACCCGTCTTCAGCGTGAGATGGAACACTCATGTCAAATTGCTCACATGATGTCTCCGGTTTGGATGCCAGGGCTAAGATGTGATTATTTTGCCTGAGTTTGATTTTTCTTTTTTAAGGTTGCTGTTGCCAAAATTTCTTTTTGGAATTTGCACCCGTTCACGCTGCTTGGGGTCTGAACAGATACATCAGCTTGTAGAGAATAACAAGTTTTGCTAATAACAACAATAAAAATAATGATGATGACTATGATGATATTAATAATATCGCTTTTCAGTCGGTTCTTTTGCAAATTTTCATGGAATTAAATTGCTTTTGTTTCTGCTTTATATAACATTCCCTAGGAGAGGATGTTATACTGTGGACAGTGTCACACGCACAATCCACAGTGTAATTTCTGAATCCATTAGTCTGATACAGGCTGGTAGTCATTGACTGCCTAAGAAAAGTCTGTGATTCATTAGTAGCAGTGGACAGTTTGTTTCCAGATTAATTGCCGAAAAGTATAGGTCATTTGTCTGTTTATTTATTTATGCTTTAGTTCATCAATGAAAGCAAACACCCTGTGTGATTTATATTAAGAGTTGGAACCAAATTAAACAGAAGAACTCCTGGGTTGCATTGTACAGGCGTTACTGATAGGATACCCTTAGCCTGAGTCTCATTGCATGTGATGCTCAGTCCATTTGTTTAACATATGGAACTGTGCAGCATCTGGAGCAGTTATCTTTAGGGGAGCTGTTAATCATCACAAATCGTGCAGAACCTGCTTATATTGTCCTAATGCAGCGTGCTGTGCAGTTTAGCTGCAATGAAATGACTTACCTTCATTTTTTTTAATAGCATTATGCAAATCATTCATTTTATCTCAACACTACATGCGCAGGACAATCGCTGGCCCCTCACAATTCCATGATATTAGAATCTGGCTACTCCCTCTCCTACTTGCGCCCCATTGTTTTAGATGGTCTAAATGAAAGCCATCTGGGGGCTGCTGTCCGCACCAAGACAAGGGAATTAGCTCTGTGAGTGTCCCTTATCTCACTGCCTCCACACTCCACCCGTTTCACTCCCATTCTCCTCTAGTAATGAGTATCTACCCAATTTAGTTCCTTTTCTCTCCAAAGGGGAATAAATCCAGCACAGTTCTTTGGATGAAAGAACCTGAAGGTCCCTCGCCTCTCGGCCTGTGACCTTAATAGACAGGAAATTGTATTTGTATCCCTCCCTCTGCGACCAAACAGGTATCCAGCAGGATTTGCTCCCCATATTCAGTACAATGACCTTTGTCTCTCTGTCTTTTTTTCTTTTCAGCTGCTCCAAAGGGTCCTAAACTTTTGATGTCCCCCAGCAGGGCAAAGGTAGGGGACACAGTGCGCATCACTGTGCAAGGATTCCAGGTAGGATCGCCAGGGGTAAGTGCATGGGGTTTTAAGAAAATGAAAGACTAATTAAGTCTGCAATAGGAGGAGATTGGTGCACATGTGCAGTGAAGCCTGTTTAGTTTTCCTCTTTAGTGACCACTTTGCTGGGCACAGGCATATTTTCTTTAACCTATTTATTCAAGCATGTGCAATATTTATTTTGAAAAAAATGGATTTACATTTCAACATTTTGCTTAAAGTTAGTAAAGTTAGTACACCCAAAATGCCAAACATTGCAGCTTTTCAGAATGTTTGTTTTTAATAAATCCTCAAATGTAAAACTAAAAAATTAAAATGAATAAATTCAAAAGTACATGCTTATGTTAGGTTGGAAACTATGCTATCAGCTGTGATGCTGCTTTCAGACTAACTGATTTCTTTTCCAAAATAGGAGCAGGTGTCTTTTGTGTGAATGGTCTCTGGGTGGTCCTGATATCTTTGACAGAAATGACACATTGAGAGTCAGTCAGGTGAAGCGAATATGGCTAATCCTGATATAAAACAGCCTAATGGTGCACAGCGCAGGTGCCCTTTGTTACTTTGTAGTCTATAGGAATCATACTTCAGATTTCAAATTTAATTTAATGAAATGAAATTTATGAAATTTTATGGAACAAAGTTAAAATTCTGCATTGTTGTTGTTGTCAGTTTAGTACACTGAGTTATTGACGTCAAAGATTTATACATGCATGTCTGCCCAGTGACCTTAAGATTATTTTAAAGCTTTTTTTTTAACAGGGTTAAGTTTGGTTATTATAAACAGGCTTGACTGTGGCACGCAGCCAGTTGGGCCCTTCGGCAGCGTAGGCATCAGTGCGTACAGATTGATCAGAAAGCAAATTTCCCTTATCCTTCCCCGGGCCCTAGGCTTTGGGGTTTCACAATAGATACGATTCTGTGCCAAGACTAATAATTTTGCTGCCTGCCTTTGTGATGAAATAAGATGTTCCTCTGCGGAATTTGTTATTGATGCTTCTTTTACAGAGGATTTTTTTTCTGTTCCTTCTCATTGATGTGTTGTTTGTTTGTCAGTCTTGAATATGTTTTTAATTATATTCGTATTATTATACAGCAGTATTCATTACATCATTGTCTTAAAAACAAGTGCAACAAGTTCAAGTTTAAGATTGTTCTGTCTTAAAACACAGTAGACTTGCTCACATCTATAGTAGAGTATACACTGTGCTTGAAAAACTGTGGAAGAAGGGCAAACTGCAGTAGCTGAAAATGTTGTTTGTTTTGCTTCACTCTGCATTTGTGAATTTGCCAAATAAGCTAGCTCTTGAGTTCATGGACCTCTGTAGGAAAAACTACTCTTGAGCAGAAACAGCCACACTGACGGTTACTTTTTCAGCACAGTTAGTGATAGCACATACAGGACTTCAGTTCTACACTAACTTCATGTGGTATGTTTTTCTCAAAATGTGAGGTTATGGTGCTGACATTTCAATACATCCCTAAGTCGGGGCTCTGGTCCTCTGGAGCCCTGGAGACTGGAGCATGTTCTTTAGAAATCTTTTAAATGTGTCTTTTTTTGTCATGTAATTTTTCCTTTGAGGATGCATAGTTAGAGTGATACAAACGCCTATCTGTGTAAAACTGTTGTAAAGTGAAGCATGATTATTAATGCATGTTGTTAACTTGCCTTTGCATTAGGGGGAAATTGGAGCTTGTATTATTCATGTATACTTTGCTGTTAATCTCTTGGCTGACACTCACAGACTTTCTTTGTTCTGCCCTTTCAACACCATTCATCTGCATTTTTTTCTTTTCGTTCCTATTTTTCTTTCCATTCCATTTGGGTGTTGATAGAACGAGGTTTTCCCTGAGCCACTCTTCACCTGGACGAGGGTGGGGGGCCGCCTGCTGGATGGGAGCACTCAGCGAGAGGGGAGGGAGCTGATTTTGGAGAGAGTGCCAGCTGAGCTTAACGGCTCCATGTATCGTTGCACAGCCCAGAATCCTCTGGGTTCCACAGATACGCACACTCGCCTCATAGTCTTCGGTATGTACGCTGAACTCTGCAACATACTCTGGTCCCATTCTGAAGCAGCTGCTACACTAGCAGTTAAACTGAAATCATATTTAATTTTGATGAATTATTTAGGGGACAATAAATATGAAATAATGTTTGTCACAGTTTCACAGGCACACATTTTACACATTTAAATGTCAAAGAAAATTGCGTAATTCTACAAAATTCGTTTTAATGTATCTATAATATCTTTGAAGAATACTTAAGAGATTTGTGTGACCGCTTTTAGGTATAAATCATTAATGCTGTTGAGTGTGTGATTAATAAGAGATTGTAATTGCTTCCACAATGCATTCTTTTAAGGGCAGCACTTTTGAGAATAACTATTCTCTAGCAAGGGATTTAGTGACTATTCCATTAATGGCATGTCCTCAGCTGTTCTCACTTAAACACCAAAACACAACTATGGTATCAAAGGCTCATGCTAAAATCAAAAGACTTTGTTGTTGGCAGTGTTAGAAAAGTACTTCATTTGCTGGTGTTGATGTGGGAGCTGGAATGCTTACAGGTTCTGTTATGTCTGTGTGCCCTGCTCCTCTGGCTCTGTTTGCACTGGACACTCATGGAAGAACTGGGATCTGCCTTTCTGAGAGTTCCAATGAAATGACTTCTGTTACAGCTAAATGTCACTTTGCACGAGTGCATTGACAATTTAATCTGTCGGTCCCGTGTTGAAACATAGCCCCTGACTCACTTTTCCCTGAAAAGTCACATTGTAAATGATATCCAGAAATTAAATTGGTTTATTTGAATGACCTCATGGCTAAAAAGGCTACAGCAGAGTTACAGCCAGAAGTAGGCAGACATTATTTGTCTTTAAGTCAGCTAAAATAATACCTTTTTAAATGTATGTTCAATGCTACCTGTAAAAACTAAGCACATCTTTCTTGATGACTGTCTATAATTTCTCTGTAGCAGCAACGCTGCCAAGCCTGCATGCATACCAGATGCAAAAAGATGCTGGGTCATCTTTGAGTGGAGCTACTGTGAAGCATTCATGTAACAGAGACCTGTATTTGGAAGTGCGATAACTATAGATAGATACAGCCACTCCTCTTACGCAGTCCCTGTGTAAAGAGAATTTTTGACACTTGTACTATACAGATGTCAAGTTAAGCAAGAAAAACTGGGAGATTTTTTTGGGAAGTTTAGAAATGTGTAGTATGCAGCTTGACACCATTTTTGTACTTGAGCAACTCTGAAACAAAGAACATGTTATCCTCATGTTATCCTCATTTCTTTCTATCTCTGCACCTGAAACACTCCTTTGAACAGGGTTTAAGTGTGTCACAAATGTACAAATTACTGGGCAGGTCTAATAAGAAGCCACTTTAAGGGAAAAGTGCCACTTTAGGCGGGCGTTACCTTGAGAAGCGTTTTGCTAGGAAGTGCACTAATGTCTATTTAACACCCTGATGCATCCTCAGGTGTCATGGGCTATGTGCCTAGTATGGCCCATCTGTCTGCCTTCTCCTTGTAGATTGCCTTCACTCACTCTAAGGGGAAGTAAATGGTGATTAAGTGACCTTGGCACCATCCCCCATGGCCTTGAGATGAGACACCTGCCGGGGTAGGGGGGGATGAAGAGATAGAAGTACTTGGGGGCTCTGCTCACTTCACTAAATGTTCAGTATACATCATCAAGAATAATAGAGTATAATGATAGCTTGCTATAGAGACGCTCCGCCAATGACAAGCAGCGTTCACGTCTTGATGATGTACATTTCTAGCCACCCTCAGTGATAATATCCAGTCAGATTACTTTGAAGTGAGTCAGCAGAAATGAGAAACCCAGTAGGGACAAACACACAGGCAGACAACTGTACTTCACACACATGCAGAGACACGCAAATATGTATGCCTATGCAAATGTGCTGGGCAGGCAAACACAAGCGTGCATATGGAGAGTGCAGACACTAATTTCTCTGGGCATCTCAGAGGAGCTTCTATCTTAATATGGTTGCAATGAAACAAGTAAAGTTTCACACTGTGCTTTATATGTGGCTTCCACCTGCTCATATACAACATCTAACATCCAAAAATAGCTCACAAAGTGGAATTAAAGGTTGTTGTCAATGCTCTGAAAACCCACTGCTCCCTTTTTTGCAATTACTTCATCCCTATGAGGTCTTTGAAACTACATGGTCAGAGAGGATTGTGCAGGGTAGACACCAGTGCTGCTTATTAAAGGTGCAGTAGGTTTCTCCAAACGTCTTTCTAAGACTGCCTTGCCACAGCTTTAGTTCACGGATCTCAGTGCTGCTAAAAATTTGTCTAGGTTGTTGTTTTGCAGTGCTGTGTGTTCCCAGGTCCATTTGCAGCCCCAGCCTTTCCGACTGGGGACCTGCCATTTAGCATGTGCTACAGGAACTTCATAGTTCAATGTCACTAAAAGCTACAGCTTTTGTCAGATATTGCTGCTGAAGTTTTCCTTCTTTGTTTGCATATAATTCAGTTCTATACGTAAACTGTGTCTACATTAATGGTTGATTGTTTCCCTGATCTTTCTTTTTTTGTCCTTTCAACAGAAAATCCAAGCATGATGAAAAACACACAGAATCTAAACAGTAAGTATTTCAACCACAGAGCTGACAAGCATTCAGTGTATGTGTTTTTCATAATAATGCATCTCATAATTCTGGCTGTATTGTTTGATCATCACATTTTCAGACATGCTGTATGTAATATGAGAACCAACTGTGACACTGCAGTCGGTTCAGTGAGAAAATGTGTGCAGAAACGTAGCACTGATCAAAGTACCAAATTCTTTAGCTGACTGCGGTTTCGACATTCAGCGTATTGACAGGTGGATGTTTTTTGATTCTGCCCTGAATACTTTGCCCCAGATACACTGCATGAGAGTGATTCATTCAGGATTAATCTTTGCTGATGTTCAGTACCAGCAAGCAACAAACCCTTCCACTGACTAACCGTGCCTGTCACTTATGGCTAAGTGTGAGATTATCGGTGTTTCATATATGCATTGGTGCCTCATTTGCGGCTTCTGAGATTATCATATGTAAAGATGAGGGATTGTCAGGAGAAGCCGCAGGGCTGTGACAACAACCTTTCCATCTTTCCTGTTTTCTTGCCCCTCCCTCTCTCTTTTAGCTCTAATTTTTTTCTGTTTGTCTTTCAGTTCTATCTCCCTGGCTTTTGTACTCACTTTCTATCTCCCAGTGCCAGTTTCTCTTAGTGCTTCATCCATTTTTGGTAGCTCTTTTCCTTTTGTCACCACCTTATTTCCCTCTCTCTGCTTTTTCTATTTTCCCTCCTCCATCATATTTATTTTTCCTGTTTTTTTCTCTTGAGCCTAGCTCACAATCTCTGTTTTTGATGCAGATTTTCCATCACGTCGGCCTCATGTGGAGTGCAGATTATGCTGTAGTATAAGAAAACATTCAGAGCTGGTTAAAAGCCAGACTCTGGATTCTTGACTGGTGGGTTTCTGAATCATGACTCACCAAGACTCAAATAAGAACATAATCATATAGAGACAGAAATCAGGGTTTAGATACAGAAATAGGGATAACTCAGTTAAACATATGGAGACTCTTTCTAGTGTAATTTCCCCCCATGCTCCGAAAAGTGATGAAGTACAGCATGACACTATTTGTGGATTAGTTCACACAGGAGTGTATTTATTAGCTGTTGTAAATTGTAACTTCTCTTACTTTTAGATGCAAAAGGAATAAAGAACCTATGTTATGCCTTACATGTGTGTGTATATATATATATATATATAATACTAATATATATATATATATATATTATAAATATATATATATATATATTATATATATATATACTATATATATATATATATATAATATATATATATATATATTATATATATATATATATACACCACATGTAAGGCATAACATAGGTTCTTTATTCTATATTATATATATATATAATATATATCTATATATATATATATATAATATATATTATTATATATATATATATATATATATACTATTATACTTATTATATATATATATACAATTTTTTTTTGCAAGGATTTGATTTTGCTTAACTGGAAAACACATCTGAATGGTATATTTGCCTGAAGTATAATCCTCAGTGCATGTGTGCACTGCCTATGTTTGTCCCAATAAACAGTGGGAACAGCTTCCCAAGCAGATGGCATGCAGAGCTGTCTTTAAGCTTAAAGTCAGGCAAAATTTGAACAGCCTTGTAGTCCAGCAGCACTTTACTATTTTTTTCCTGTTTCCTATAAACCTTTCTCCCACTATCCATTTTTTTTACTCTTCGTTTTGCCATTTGTCCCCCCCGCCACCCCCGTCTTCCTCTCCTGTTCCCTTCCTATCTTAAGGATGCAAATCTAGGAATGCAAATGCTATGGTAAGCACAGGAGCAGGTGTGTCACAGCAAGGACAGAATCAGGTCAGCATGGACGCGCAGACATGCCTTGCATGCAAGTCAAATTGGTACAACATAGCCCCAAGAGGTCACTACACACGTGCCGCAGCTTAATGCCTGAATGCTGGACTCCTCATCTGGTGCAAGTAGGAAGCGCCACATCTGCCAGTCAGTCAAGTCTGTCATAGACAAGAATACTAGTCTCTGAAACAAATTCTCAAGCTACATGATGTTGCAATGAATGGAATTTAATAGATGAGTGAATTTTGAATAAAAATGTGACATGTTTCCTGTCACATAAAACTCTACCAGTCAGTCAAGGGTGGTAGAAGCATCACAAGTTTGGAATTGTCGCCCTATGGTGCAAAATGCATCCACTTTGCTGAGACACAGCTGTTTAACCATAAGGCAAGATTCAATACAAGTCATAGCTGACGGACTTTGCATTCACCGAGTCAAAAATAGCAATATTGCAAGAGCCGTGTGTAGTAATCACATAATATACATTTTCCAAAAACCTTTATTAGAACACAAGTCAGATCAGAAAGGATTCAGACTGGTGGGCATACAAACGGATGCGTCAAAGCCACTGTCAGAAATGTCGAGCCGATTTGTAAAGCCAGCTAACTTAACTTAAACCTTCTCTGGAGTCAAAGTATTCGTGTGAAAAGAAAGCATTATGATTCCAGCTGACATTTTAGAGCCAGTATATCTGAGGTAAAGTCATCCTTCTTTTTTTAAAAAACATGTTGCCACAGAAATCAGTCCCAGTTGTCTAAAAAAAAATCAGGTTGGCAGAAATGCATTGAGGTCTGAGCCAAAAACTGAAGGTAAACAGATGGCTGGGTGACTTGCATCCATGACTGTAGACTGGAATAGAACCTCAGATGATGATCTTATGGTTGGGTGAGCTCATTACCAAATGAGATGAGGTATTTATTGAAAAGATCCAGTTGTTATTGTCTGATGTTATGTGACTTGCATAAATAAAGTGGAATTTAATGTATGTAAAATGTCAGATGGCACTCTAGAGTTCTCCTGAAATTAACCTTCAGAAGTGATTTATCATGGAATCCTGATTAATTTGTGAAACCCTTTTTGATTTAACTCTTACTAATTAACATTTGTCAGTGGGTGGAGCGGGTGGATCCTTCAGAATCGCTTGCTGTGTTATCTAACAGGCCTAACCAGATTAAATTTTGAACCTCAATCTTACCGCACACAGTGTGGTCATCCTCTCATAGTGAGAGTGATTGTAGCCACAGTCTTGGCACTACTGGGACAAATTGCCGGTTATATCAGCAAAGACACACCCACGGTCGTTCACAACTTTCCTCCCTCAGCAGCCACAAGGGAGGTTCAGAAAGCATTAGCTGCACAAAGCAAGTTTCTTTCATGACTTCTCTTCTGTAATGTAGTACAATGCTGTTAAATGAAAAGCGCAAACACTGTAAATAGAAGTATTGTTCACCATATCCAGGCATTTAATTTTTCAAGAATGAGAAATAAAGACCAATGTTTATATTCAGCTTAACTGTTAGCGAGATCAAACAGGGATTTTTGGATTTTATGTCATTGCTGTATCATATAATTTTGCACTTCAAAAGCAGGGGAAAACAGGGATTTACTATTACTCAGCTGCAATAGAAAATCATTTAACCCTCTTAAGCAGCAAGAAGTTGGAGTAATGTGTCAAAATATAATGAATACATGTGTCAAATAAAGTTTTCAACAGTTAAAGAAGGACTAATACATTAATCTATATTTCTACGAATCTTGAAACATAATGTTGACTTTGCTAATAGTGCTAAATATAAATTGAAATTTCTCTTTAAAGATCCAATAGCAGGCAGCTTTTAATAGGATCCCTCGACTTTAGATCTCCAATAAGTGTTTCTGTGTAGTTTCTCACAGGCTTCTGGTAACTCTCTTTTTTGACTGCTAGTCCATTCTTCCTGTGCTTTTGTTAAATCCCAAACTAGTGATTTTCAAGATGATTCATGTCCGGGGACTGAGATGACCACCAGGCATGTGCCTGGGCTAAATCGCCTGGTATTTCACCAAATCCGTAATGTCAGTCACAGTCGATTTTTCCCTTTTCTGCAACAGCTAAAGGCAACCACATCCATGCGTGCTTGTCTTGTTGGTGATGTCTTCTTGTCTGGGCCTTTCATGTCTTTAACTAATACACTTTGGTGATATAAATGTTACCCTTTAAAACAGTAACTCAGGTTGCCAAGTTGATTACACAGCTGGAGCACGTGCTGAGACAAGATTTTGGTACATCTTTATCACAGCTGAAGCAAATTCAGGTGCTGTTATAGCATTTTAGTTCCCAATAGTTTAATTATATCCTGACATGTGGTAAGTTTAATAGTAAGTTATTTAAAAACAACAGTTTTAGGAAATAATTTAATCATTCTCATCTACATTTCTATATTTCACTCTGAATTAAACACACAGTTACGAAAATTAATGAATGGATGTATTTCAAAAATGTCATCCACCTACATAAGATGTTAAACATTTTAAACATGTTATTTTGATTACATCTCTCGACTCAAATGTGATTTATAAAAATTTATAAACATCTTTGGAAGGTTTAATAGATAAACCCTTAACAGCTCAGCAGGGATAAATAATTTTGATTGCAGCTGTACCTCAAGTGATTTCAAGCCCCTGACTTGAGACATTTAGAGAAGAAATGTTTTTCTGATGAAGCAAAGTCTCAGTCTATAAGCAACAATCAGGTTAAAATAGTTTATGTGTGTGCCATAAACAATTTTATAAGCTACAGCAGCATGGCCACTATTGTTTTCACCTTGTAAGTCTGTCTAACTGTCTGTGTGTCATGGCAAAATGTGGTCCTGGGGATGCCTACTATAGGTGGAACTGTCAAATAAGTGGTTTGAAGTACTTTCAGATGGGTATGTGGACAGCCATGCAAGATACAGTCCCAAAATTTTACAGGTGTATAGTTGGGATCGGTTGTGAAGATTGGTGTCATGTCACCCGTGAGTACTGGGTAAAGGGCACCTGGAGTAGGCCTTGAGCCGCTTTAAGCTCTGTTAACACAGTCTTTTGCATTCTTAATGTATTTGTAAGTCTCATAGGTGTCTTTATCTGGTTTATAAACATAAAAATATTTTCCACAATAGGCCTGGTGGGAGAACTCACTGGCAGCTGTTATGATCCCATCACAATATGGTCTTGTTTATTTAATTGTTTTCAGTTGAGTGAAAACATAGAACAGTTCAATGCCCTTAAAAATCCCTTCTTAATGAAATTCCTATTTTACTGTAAATAACATATTTATCCACTTCAAGCACGAGTATAATTCAGAAGAATTGCTCAGTGGGATGAACAATTGCTTTGTTTTTTTAAATTTATTATTAATGCACTACAATACATGAAAACGATGAATGAAACGGTCTGATTGTCGTTTTCTTTGGTTTTGTAGATGAAGCCCCCCGCATGGATATGCTCGGATTAACGTGGATGGCACTTGTCCTCACAGTGACAGTGGAACTGACGTGAAACCTCTCATCCAAGACGTTCTCGCTCACACATACTTGCCCTTCTTATGTAACATCAACACATGCACACAGTAACACACACACACACACAATCACACAAAACTTAATTCCCACAGTCCCACAAGCCTTCTCCAGTCATCAACAGACCCTGAATACGTCAGTCGATCAGGAAACAGTGCCACCACACGATGGCTCTACACTGTTTTTGTAACAAAAATAATAACCAAGATAATGATATGAAAAGAACAACATGATGAACATGACGGTAACCACCTCCTATATAGCCCCGCCCAGTTACACCTTTTTTTTCGTTTCTTGTCCCACGTCTGCCTGTTGACCAATAAAATCAGTTGATTTGAAATGGAAAAGAAAAAAAGCATTTGGATTTTATTTTATTGACTCACAATATTATTGGTACTGAAATTGGTACTGAGATGTGAAAAATGGAACTGATTTTAGACTGCGACACCACATCAACCACACCTGCTACATATCCTGGGATGTACCTGACTGAGAGCAAGCTGATAAACCATGGGAGAATAAATACAGATGCTCGAAGTGGAGAGGCTTTTTTATTAATATACAAATTTCTTTTTTTCTTTTCTTTTGTTTTCTTTCTGATGGCTCAGAATGTACGAGAGGATTTAAATGCAGAAACTAGAAAAAAAATCTCATTTTGAGTGTATTTTGTGTACATCAGTGTAAATACTGAAAAATAATTAAAAGAGGTTATATGGGTTATGGTGAGGGATGGTTGCTGAAATAATTGGAGTTTACACTCCTCCACCCTTGTTTGTACTTCATTCAACTCTGTTTTCAGAGATAATTCTTGGCTGAAAAGGATGGAAACATTAACAGCCTTTTTGTTTCTCATTTCGGCTTTTTATATCTATATGGCAGGTCTCCAAGGACAGAGTAAAAAGTATCTAACATATGTCTGCTGTTTTGGGGTTGTGGTGCATGTGACGTTTGAAGATTCTTTCTCCTTTTGGTGTGTTGCAAATGACAGCACTGCAACTCATTGTCACTGGCCTGTAATCCAGTTATTTACTTGTGACATACTATCTTAAGTGACCTACATTGTGTACAATACGTAACTCTTACCCAGACATTTACAGTACTAGTAGGATCATTTTAGCCGCCATCCCAGGGAGGAGTTCACCTGAGGCAGCTTGTGTAAACAGGGTTGTTGCATTTGTTTCATTTCACCTCTATTAAAATGGAGAGATGACAAAACTCAAAAGCCTTGACTTTGCTTAAAACAGTGTTTCACAAATTATTTTTATTGTCCTGCCTTTTAATGCTGTGTACAGGCGATATGCAGCATTATTACTCATACCGAAGACACATGCTAATCAAGGTGGTTGAAAGAACTGTTGAAATTATTTAAATAAAATCCCACCATAATGTATAAGAACGTGTGCTGATCGACTCTGTGGAGAAAAAGACGTCTTTTTGATTTTTTCTAATGATATGGACCTCAACGTGGTTTTAGAAGGAGATTCTGACATTGCCATTAACTCTTCTGGCCTTTCAGTGAAAGATAGCTTAATGCAATGTAATCCTGCATTTTTTGGACTTCACAAGAATTGCAATTTAAGCTATTCTAAGGACCCAACATGTATTAAGGGATTAAGGTTTAAACCAGGTGGGAGGTAAGAGGAGAGATTTTGAAGCTTAGGTGAACCAAAAGGATAGACCTATCTGTTTGGGATATCAGCTCACCTTGCCAAAGTACTATCCATATTGCATGCTGCATACGGGAGATGAGAGCTGCAGAGCACAAACATTATTAACAAACAGTCATATGTGCTTTGAATGACATTTTATCTGGCAAGGGAAGCAAAGGGCACAAATCCTTGTCCACCCACTGTATAGTATTCTAACTCGGCTATCATTGTAATTTTTATTCAAGAGGCACTTCTGTGCTTTTTGCTTTCACTCACTCATTTTACATTCAAGTGAGAAAAAAGGGTCCATTTCTGAATACAATACAATGTGCCAATTGGCTTTATATGATTTAATCATCATGCCAGAAGAAGTCTGTCCTAAATAGTTTGTGGATAAGGCTGTGTTACTGTTGTCCACATCTTACCAGTAACTATGAGTACTAAATTCATAACCATATTATCGTGGACCAGAAATATGCAATAGATAAGAAAAAAGAGCCTTTAAATGCACTGCTTTGTCACATTTTCTTTAATCCAAAAGAAAAACATTGTGCATAAGCAAGAATCTATTTAAAAAAAGGCTTTAGTTTCACTTACTATGCTTTCTTTATTTTCAGTCACATGTTGTCGTTCTATAAGAAAGAAGTGAAAGCACATGACTACAATGCACATGATAATCGTCTTCTGAATGCTCCACCTGAAGCTAGAAGCAGTGGTGAGGATAAGAGGTTGCACAGAGCATTTGTGAATTATTCAGGAGGCAAATGTGCTTGCAGAGTCCAGTTTCCTTTTTGTTGTCTGCAGGCTGTCCTATCAGATGACCAAACATTGCCAGTGTGGGCTCGGAAATCTGACACACCCTCTGCACGAGTCCCCACGTGATGCATCTTTACAATGCTTCTAAGATGAATACTATTTTGTTGTTGACCACAGCCTCGCTGCTGTGTTATCAACAATACAAATGGCAGCTTGGCAGCAGCAACTGAGCAACAAATCTCCCATGAGGCAGAAATACATGTTTGAATCTAGTATAGTGTAGAGAAATAAATGACACTCCCAAGGTTATGTGTACAAAGACTTCCCATTTTATTTGCATTACACATGCTTTTATTGTTCAGATGGTGCTCTGTACACTTTATTGTGTTTATAATAGCATGTGACTGCCATTTAAGTCTCTGATACTAATCTTCAGATCATCTTAACAGAGACTAACTTAAGCATCTGCGCTGGCAGGGAAAGGACCTTTAATATGGAGCATGGCTGTGCAAACAGATGTATCCTGGTTAATAAGTATTTGATAAATGTCAGGTATCATTACTCCCCGCCCTTTATTCAAACCATGATTTCCTTCTGGAGAGCTAGAAGTATGTTTGAGCAAGTGAAGAAGAGTTATCTCTCATAATATTTTGGGGAATTTTTTTAGAAATGTACATAATACATTCTATGCATGAAAACAGCAAGATGCCGAAACTGAAACGTAACCCTGCAAAGTAAGGCTTTGTATTGCGGTAACTTTAACTCTTCCATTACACAACATAACATTTGAATAGTTGTGGGAAAAGGCTTTGTTGAGTCAACAAATTGCATAACCAAATATTGATCTATGGCGTATTTACATATTCCGTGTATGGATACTGAAGCTGCATGTGACTTGCCACAGGTGGTGCATGAAAGGGCCCCGCCTCTGCAGAGCCAGTGATGCAAATTGTGCCTCAAGAGCTATCATTTTACACTTGATCCTTTGGGCACGGAGGCACAGTCATCAGATCACAGCAGCTCTCTTACAATGACAACCAGACAGTTACTATCAGCTGAGATGCACTGACAATAACGCTCAATAGGATCAGCCAACCAACTATTGCCACCAACATTGCTACAGCTATGCCCATTGCGGAGCTTTTGGGAGTCCAGTTCGACATGCAGCTGCTGTGGAAACTTAGTGTCTCTGCGGCTGCAGTGCTGCTGGTTTCTTGGGGCTACAGGTTCTACAGCTCCAGGCATCGAAGAAGAATCCAGCTCTATGTCAAAGACAAAGAGCCAGGAAATGCAACCTGCCAAAACTGCGAGACAACACTTCAACATCAAAGCTCAACAAAACATGAGACAGATGATGCGGGCCAGCAATCCAGATCGTTGCTAGCAGATTCAGATGACCTGACACATCAGGTTAAAACAAGTGAGGATGTGTTTGCAACAAACGATGACCACGATACCAGCATGGATGAAGAGATAATCACTTATGAGAAGCAGGGACAGGTTGCCACCAGTAATGTTATGTTTGGATCTGCTCTGAAACTCCCTGATCCAACAGAGAGTGGGATGGTCAGTACAACGGGGCGGCGCTCCCCTTGCATTTTGCAGAAGCTGGAGAGAAGTGTGGGTGTGGGCCGAGAGTTAAGACAGGACCTGGAGAGCAAAGGGTCCTACTCCAGCTTCCTCTCCAAGGCAGAGGTCAAAGTGGAAGATGCAAACATAGTGCTAGAAGGGACAGGAGACCAGGTTGTGCGTGGAAAGATATATGATTACTATGTTGAGTCATCTTCTCACTCTATTACAGATATTAATACGGTACTTTCTCAGTATGAGAGGGACTTTGAATCAAAGCCAGGGGAGTTTGGAAGCCATGGCAGCAGTTTCAGAGAGTCTCCATCGTCTTTAAACCCCATCACTATTCGTGATCTGATTTCACCACAAAGCACTGTTAAAGATGCTTCCTCGCCAGGGTGCCTCAAGCTGAGAAAACCCCCAAGGCCTGTACTCTTACGCAAAGAGAGCTATCTGTCTGCAGCACAGGAGTCTGAGCTTTCGATCCCCTTTCTAACTTCAAGAGCCTCAACTCCAGTGACCCACTCTCGGGCTATAGCTGGCGATGAATCTCTCTCTGTTCACCCAATTATCAGTCCTGCTACTGACAGCAAAATCCTTAATGTGAAGGAGGGGATAGATAGAGAGACTGCAGAAGGGGCTCCATTTTTAGACTTTCAAGCAAAAATTCTTGATGACACAGATTTAGAAGTCTTAAAGAGTAAGCTTGATCTGGGTAATTGTTTGGAGACACTGTGCCTTGCTAAGAAACATGGCCAGACATCTTTGCAGAAAGCAGCCCTGGGGGTCATGTCTGATAACTACCTCCATGTGCTCAGGGATCCCAGCCTTTATGGGCGGCTAATGGCTGGTGAGCGGGAACAAATCCAGAGGCAAAGAATGAGGGGGAAGAGGTTTGTCATGGTTGCAGACATGGATCCTCAAGATTGGGTCAGCAACACTGAAGGGCGCAGAGCAACATCAGAGCAGAGGAGGACATCAAGTGCAGTGTACTATTATGATGACTACAAAGACACTTGGCATACACTCTGCCTAATCCCACAGGAGGTCATCTCTAAAGCCTGTGCTATGTGCACAATGGATAACTACTTATTCGTGGCAGTGGGCTGCCAAGGCACTGACAGAGAAATGACACCCTCAAAGCGAGTGTTCTGCTACAATCCTTTGACATCCATTTGGAAAGAGATCAGTCCTATGAATGAAGCCAGGCCCCGCTGCAAACTGGCAGCACTGGAGGGCTACATATATGCAATTGGAGGAGAGTGCCTCTCCACAGTGGAGCGCTACGACCCACGATTGGACAGATGGACATTTGTGGCTCCTCTGCCTAATGATACATTCGCTGTGGCACACCATGTGACAGTGTGCGATGGAGAGCTTTTTGTTTCTGGAGGAACTCTTAAATACATGCTACTACGCTACAACCCCAAAACTGACACCTGGAGGCCAAGTCTCATAGTAGGCAGCAAATACAAGACTGTAGATATTGTGGCTGTGGGAAGATTTTTGTATCGGTTTGATGTTAACCCAGTCCTGGGTGTCAGTGTGTACCGCTACCATACGGTGGCCCGACTGTGGTATGAGTGCAGCTCCAAACGGATTCTGCATTGCCCTGCGTTTCAGTGTGTCGCGATGAATGACACAATATATTGTGTCAGCCGCCACTTCACCATGAAGTTCGAGGCTGATGAGATCTCTCCTGCTTTCATAGATGAGGATTTGAGCATACTCTCTGCAGCCAAGGGCACACTTTTCCCCTTTATTCTTTCACTACCTGATAAGAAGCCTCAGCAGACTAGTGTGTAATGAGGATTCAATTTTCCATTGATGGTAAGATTAGATTGTGATTGAGTATCCTTACAAGAGCATGCTTTACATCAAGTTTATTGTTGCCTGGGTGAGTTTTGCTTCGGTCAGGTTTATGTTCAACTCAGCCCAGCCCCAAATTTCATTGCAAAATTGCAACCACTTTTCTATCATTTTTGAAGTGTTATAAAGATTCCCTTTCCACAAAGCAAGAAAGCATCTGCTTCTAAAAGTACTTTATTTTTATTGGATTGCGTATTACAGAAAGAATTGTGTTTTCCTCATGTCTCATTCTTGGCAATAGATGTAAATTATAAGACTCTTAATGGTAGTCAAACTACTGTTTACCTAGATTTACACAGGATGTGCTGCCATTGAAACTGTTTGCTACTTTGATTTGCAACTTCTTCTTGCTATTATGTTAGTTTTATATCATCCCAGATGCTTAATCTCTTTAATCCAAAGATAATTCATAAAAAAGCATCAGAGTAAATGAAATCATTCAGCGCTAACTGAACAAGAATTTAACAATATAATTTTAATCTATTACTGTGTCCCCTTGTGTAGGGCACAAATATATTTTACACAGTGGCCTGAATAAAACGTCATTACTTACAGTTGCTCTTTAGATATGACATGATGTAAATGGGTATGCCATGCAATATAAATAGGTAAGCTTCGAAAGCATTTGTCACTGCACTGAAACACTCAGACTTGTAGTTATTTCTGTCATTTCAGTCACCTTCTATGGTGGCAAGAAAGATGTGTATTTGTTTTCAATGTGAATAAGATTAAGAACATCCTCAGCTCATTGTACCAAATGATATCTTCACTTTGTTATCTATTGTTTTATAAACATCAGAGGAATTTAGAAATTTGTCATTCAGTGATTATTAATCCACACTTAGTGACTAATTCTATTAAGATGTCTATTCTGCTGTTTGTGTGACTTGTAAAAAGTAATAGAATAATGCAAGCTCAATCTAAATATGTGTGGTTTATTTTACTGTGTTGATTACATTAACAACTGAATATGCATAAGAATGATGCAAATATTAAATCCCTCATTGTTTCTTCATGTACAATTAAGTTCCTCACCGTACAGACTGTAAAGGCAAGGACTTAAAAGACAGCGAGAGTGACGTGTTGCTATAGCACCATCGTGTGGCTCAGAGGCAAATACAGCCGTTCTTTGGTAAGACGTGTTGTGTTGAAGATTTCTCATAACCCAAGGGTGTCATGTGACACACGGGCATCAGCAGCACAGTAGAGAGACTAACTAGCTAACAGTGGGTGAAACAGAGCTACACTGGAAGGCAGCAGGCAAGTGGGAAAAAGGGAGGCAGACGCAGATGGTTGACCATCAAACATAAGCATCTTTGATTCTTCCTAATTAAACACTTTGATTCTCTGTAATTAAACACCTAATGGAATGGGAGTTAGACACATCCCTTCAGACATTGCCTTGGATGACTCATTGCTTCTGTTTTACCTAAATACCCAGGTCAGTTCTGGCATCAACAGTATTTTTATTTATTTATTTCTCCCGCATAGAATCTAGAGTAATACTAACAGCCCATTTCCAGTTTCACATACACTCTGCGCAGAGAAAGAATTTGCATGTAATTATGCTCTGAAAGGGTGGAGATAATTTATAGTCCCATCCCTTTCTCCCTCCCACACATTTAAATGCTAAAGCAACTCACCAGCGTAAATCTACAGTAGTCCTCACAAGGTAATGAGAATTGTCTTTAATTTTTTAAAATCCATTTGATTTCCCCAAATGGTCTGTTGAGTTAGGGTTTTACTTGTTGCCAACTACGGAAAAAGGGAATTTACAAACACAGCTTCTAAATTAACCAGTATTGGAGGAAGTTTCATAGCTACAATACTGAAATTAAGCCTGTTGTGATGGTGGACATAGGCTGAAATAATGATCCGGGACTTGTAGGATCAAGTGCTGTCTCAGATCCAGATCCTTGTTGTTACGATTGGCTTCATAGAGGTGGCTGGAGAGCATGTGTGAAGCCTTGGCAAAGCGGCTCTGGCAGAAGGCACTAAGTGGTTGCCTCTGGTATGCTGACCTGTACTCAGTCAGAGATGGAAGGTGTGACTGCTGTATTTCAAAATGGTGATTTGTGGTCTGCAGCGGGCCAAAGTTGTTTGGAAGTGCTGTAAAAGAAGAGCACATTAACTGCCATGTTACTGCAGCCATTAATTACATCGGTGGCTGATTTGGAACTATAAAAGGCATCTGGACCCACCCCAGGTTAATTGTTCATGAGCTCAACTGCTGATGTATTTTGTTCATACAAGATTTAATGCACTTATGTTTGCACTGCACTCATACTCCTTGTAATGGCTTAATGTACAAAGTCATTTCCCATGTATAATCTCTGCCTTCTGGCAGTGTTGGCATGGAACTTACCAGAAGTCAGCTGGTCAGACCTCTCGGGCTTTTGTGTCAAGTTGTCTGCATGTCTGTGTTGCAGAGTGGGCAAAGCATTGATGAGGTTACACCCGTAGCTTTCCGCATACTGTGTGACCAGATAATGTGAGGATGGCGGGTCATGGTGCCCAAAAATCGTCTTAGATGGAAGCCCCTGGATAACAATATAGAGAGATCTTAACGTAGCCTTCCCACAGTGGCCTTCTCTGGATTAAGATATAGAGGGCATGACCTGTTCTTTTTCAATAATCTTCAAGAGGCTCACCATGTGACAGCGGCAAATTGCTCCAACTAACCCTATAGTATGTCCCCAGTAGGATTGATGATTTTACACATTTTTCATTGCTGCTGAGTCTGAACAGAAACTTGCTTTCATAAAGAGTTTTATCACAGGCCTTTATCTTGGCCATCAGTATTATGCAGAAGTGTTCACACTCTAGCGGGGAAAAAACCCCTGACTTGCAGGCTTTTGACAGGCATTCAATTGGTGATAATACCATGAATGAGCAGTTAAAGGCTGACCTCAGCTCTCAGCAGGGCAGATCTTCTCTCAGAGATGTCTGGCTTGAAATCCCTGTGGGGTCGGTAGTCTACAGAACTGGTGCTGTAGGCTATCTTTGGCTTGCGAGTGAACTGTGTCGGAGAGAATAAACAGACATCACAAAGTGGACTGAGCAAGGGGGATATACAGGGACTTGAGCAATGATCCCAGCATAAGGATCAGCAGAGCTCACATTTCACAATTGACCTGCTTTACAGTATTCCTTAAGTCATTTCTCCTCACAAATCCTGAACCAGCAGCCTATGGCCAAAACTCACATCAATGCAATTAGTCTCCAGCTCTCGCCCACCAGGAGGCTGTGCTGATGTAGCTGAACTGAGGCCGCCTAATCACTTTGTTATAGATCTGACTACCAACTCAGGTTCTAAACAACTGTTGGCGGGCTGCCATTAATGTAGTATTATGTTTTAGACACAGCATGAAAAGACATAGAAAGTCTGTGTTCTCAGGCTGAGGTGAAATTGTATGTTTAGATTGGAAAAACATGTTTTTCATACTGTGATATAGAGTTGGAAAGCCTGAATCGAAATGCTGCATTATCACACTGTAGAGTAAAGCATGTCGTAAACAGACAATATGCCTACCTGAAGTCTTTCTTCAGCCCAGTTGCCTAACAACACTTTGTTTGCATACTTCTGCTCTATTCTCCATCCGGTTTGGGCCCATTTATCCTGTGCATTGGCTTTCTGGTTCATACTTTGCCCAGTATCAAACACACCTGGGAAATCTAAAGCCCTGCTGGAGCTAGTTTAACTAGTCAAATGGATAGCATGTAGGTGTATTCACCTGACTACATAATCGCTTCAGCAGTGGAGGGGAAAAAGAGCTCTGTTGCCATGGGTACAGCAAACACTGTGGGTAAAGCAAGCAGAGTGTCCTGGAAGCAAATAGAAGATGTCTTACATCTTTGTTAAAAGGAAATACATTTCCTAAAGTTAAGGAATGGCATTTACCTTTTAGTTGCCTGCTCTGTATTGTTAAAAAGGTGCCAGAATATTGTATGCAGACTTGGTTTCCTTGGGCTACTTTTCATTTTTGGAATGGAATGAATTTGGAGGGGGGTGGGGGTGGGGGGGAGGGGTAGGGTTAGGGTTAGGGTTAGGGGTTAGGGTTAGGGTTAGGGTTAGGGTTAGGGGTTGGGGTTGGGTTTAGGGGGCTTCTGTGAACAGTATAATGGTAATGACAAACACTGGAGGCACATTTGTTTATTCAAATGTAAGACAAGATGGGAAGTAGAATAATGTTTATTGCAGGATCTTATTTATTACCCTCACAGTGTTTTTATATAGTGAACAGCACCATCCACAACTTGCACTGCAGAGGGAAATGTGAGCCAGCCCTGGTTAAAAAAGTTAATCATGCCATGAAAGCCATCTAGCACATGCTGCCAGGTGACATCCTTTCCCAGGTCCAGAAGTCGCTTCCTGTAAAGAATCCCATCATCCCTCAGGACATCATATTCACAGGTAAGGATGAAGGTTCGCGGGGTTTTCTGAATGAGAGCATCGTCTGCCAGTAAAGGGGAAACCTCAGGTTCCAAACCCTCTTTAATTGCGTGATACACCTCCCCATCATATTCTGGGCTTGGGTGCTTATAGAAACCACGTGTGAGGCACTCAGGAGGTAAGTTGGAAGGGGATAACCATAGTTCGTAGCGTGGCCTGAGCTCAGTGGGGACATGGTTACCTTCCAGCACTTCTTGGCACAGAGAAACATCTCCATTGAGATATTGCAGGAAGTAGAATGCCATCCGGCCACGAAACAATATGGGCACAGCATGATTTTGCTGGTAGGAAGGCAAGTTGAAATCTGCCATCTGCAGGGCTGGGTAAATGAGGACCTGAGCGCAAGGGAATGGCAGATGTCGGTCCTCACTGCACGCCAGCCTTTGGCACAGTGCTGCTGCCAGGTTAGCCCCAGTGCTGTCCCCTCCAACTGCCACTCTGTGAGAGTCCACCCCGAACTCTGTCTCAGCCACAGACAGGAAGTGACACGTTGCTTTCTCACAATCATCCAGCTGGGCAGGATACCTGTGCTCAGGGGCTAATCGGTATCTAAGAGGGGTGAAAGGAAAAGGAGCAGTATGTTAAGTTGTAGCTACATGGTGGTTAAAATAGATTTACTATTTGTATGTGGAGTGGGGAAAAAAGTGTAAATACCCAACAGATATCACAGTGGTGTCAGATTCAATGGCAATATGCCGACACACTTCATCAACAGAATCTGTTCAGGATTAGTAGGATAGAGTTATTAAAAGATCTTCGTCGCAGAAAAGAAGCCATAAATAACCACAAACAGAAGGTGACACGTCTTTGTCCTTTCTGCACCTGTGCTGAAAAATATTACACTTGGGTGCAATTTTGTAGTATTTCGGAATTTTGAAACTTTCTTATGCTGCATACCGCTCAAATGAAAATAGTTTTTACTTATAGTTCAAGCTGCTTAAAATTCAGTTCCACTGTCATAAAATTACTGACTGTAACTGTGAGGAAGTCAGGTTTTACTTGTATTTGAGCATTTTTATTTTAGTTAGCAAGTGACTGTAACATCATATACCTATACTTCCCAATATCCATCCGCCTCCATGGAAATACATTAGACCTCTCCTCAAGCCATCACACACAGAGGTAGGTTCATATACTCGCACTGGCACCTCTGAGAATGTCATGTCCTTCACTCGCAGACCAGCGGGAACTTGTTTCAGGTGAGAGAGAAAACAGGCCACGAACCATCGGGTAAAGCTAACCTGATGACAAATGCCCAGTCGATGTAGGATCCGAGCCTGGCAGGAGAGAAACAAAAGACTTACAACAAATAGGAGACAAAAATATATATACAACCCTGATAGATAAAGTCAAAGTGAAGGTTATTTGGTTGAAAAAAAAAACCCATTCATGACAACATCAAAGAAGCGGAACACATGACTTTGTCTTTGCACCTTTGTTGGTTATGATTTCTTATCTAAAATTTCTCTGATGTAAGCTTTATCAGGTGTTGGAGGACAAAGGAAGGATATCCACATATGACCTAAAAGAGTACATTTTATTCTCCACAAGAGGTGTTTAACCTAAAGGATAAGTTGAATATTTTAAAAAGTTAACAAAAACAGATATGATTCCGTACAGGCAACATACAAAACTAAGCACTAACACTTTTGCAGATACTGATACTCACCACGACTGCAATACCAACAAACAATCCATGAACCATGCGCAGTTTCCCTCTATTTGCAACCCCACAAGGAACGTCTGAATTCATCAGCTCAGCATACACAAGTCCAATTACCAGAAGAAGGAAGGCTGCAACAAGAGCAGCGAAGCCAATTATTAAAATTGCCGAGCCGATGTCCATGGTGTTGCTGGTCTGCTCTGCTGAAGGTAAGTCATTAGGAGTAAATGTTTTATGTACCTGCTTTCAGCCTCTTTTCACCCCTCCCACAACCGCCTGCAATGCATTCTGACCTTGCTCTCACTTAATGACATTTTTAGCTGCCTGCTGCCCAGGAAAATAATTATATCCTTCAACATATTTTATGACTGTGTAGTCAAACGAATTACATGTTTCCCAAGGAAACCATATTGTTCCTCTATGGATATTGCAAAAAATATTTTATGTTAATAGAGCAGCTTTTTAATTACTTTCATTTCCATAGTTCCCATTAAAATACCTTCCAACACCTACTAACATTTTCACATTTTTCTGTGGTTCTAATGTGTGTGTGTGTGGGTGTGTGTGTGCATGTGTTTTCAGGTTTATTTGAACATATTGACTCCTACATGAGCTCTGTTGCTCATGCCTGTGCGTGGCAATGAGAAGCAAATTTATTGTCTAGCGTCTAAGGGAAGAAAATACTCAAAGATGCATGAAGGCTGACTGAAAAGACCCTTATCTGAACTTTCACTGTTGATCTGTAGATGGCAGTGATAGCATGAGTATAAATAAACAGGATACTCTGAAAAACAGTCTGTTTACACTGTGGCATTCTGTGGGCAGCTTAAACATATTTGCCAGTGACTGCAATGTGTACTATGATGTTTTAGCAAATTCACTGACCTGTATTCGACATCTCTTCAGTGGAATATGCTTTGGCATAAGCTCCAGTGGGCTCTCGACTTTGAATCTGCATTTTGTAAACCTCAGAAATTTGCAAAATAAAGACAGCATCTGGAGTCGTGTTGTCTTGGAGTTTTTAGCAGCCCCCGAGAGCCTCTCTGTCTTCCCTAAGTAACTGAGCCTTGCACAAAGCAACCATTGTGAGGCTAAACCCATCCCAGTTGCTGAAAAAGTCTTGTATTCAGCATTGCCCAGTAAAAATCACAGTGCCAGGGCCAAACATCACAGACTGGAATCTTGTCTGAGGCTCGTGAATTCACAAGATTTGTTTAGGAGGTATTCATGCGGTTTTATTGTTGTCATCCTTCCAAGCTTCTGAGACCGGGCTGACCTATTTCCCAAACTGCATTGTCAGATGCAGAAAAAATATAGCGTGCTTCAAAAATACTGTTACCACAACAGACTGGGTTCAAACAACTAGTGGCGCTTTATACCAACAGTTGGAAACCATTACAAATGTACAAACACACTGTCCAATCAAATAACATGTTCACTTTTTTTTAAATAAACCTAGCAAATTAAAGTGGAGGAAATACATGACTTTAGATTTTGACACAATCCAGACCTGATTTTTTTTTTATTGAGGTTACAAATGTGTTAGGGGCTTTATCAGCTATGTGTTTGTTTGGTGCTCAGCTGATTCTTTGTTTCCTCTCTTTATTTGTTTCATTTAATTAATTTAATAGAACTGGCATTAGGCATTGTTGACGATGGCAGTCATTCATCTGGCGCTATTATATAAGAATATTTTGTACTGACTTGCAACAGTCAGTGAGACCTGTGATTGCAACATCATTGTTCTTCTGTGGCCAGCGTTATGTAACGAGGTGAAGTTCGGATCAGTGAAACTGTGAAGTGAGAGTTTGGGGTCCCAGCTGGGACCCTCGCTGCTCGGCGACCACTGTGAGGACCTAGACCACATGTTGAGAAACGCTGTTGTAGCCACATGAAGGGGTGTGGAAGAGGCAAGTGCGCAGCCACTCAGGGCAGACGGGCACTGGAGCAAAATTCATCCCTACTTAACATGTCAATCAGGATTAATGCCCTTACAAACCTCCTATTTAGGTTCATCCAGTTCCTTTCACTAGTGGAAGTTCCGAACCAGGGCAGAGGCGGTAATATATAAGGCAGGACAGGACAGGACAGAACAGGAACGCAACACCAAAGCACAGAGTAGCGCGCACTACGGAGCGTCGCCTGGACTTGTGTTTCACGTTTGTACTCCTCGACGGTAGTTGACAGGCGCAATGACTGATCACTCACTGATTTCGTGAGCGTGATGCATGTAGACTGTCAGAGCTTTTCAAGTCACACAGTTCTGTTTTTAAAAAAAATATCTCTCGCCTGTGGATTAGTTATGCAACAGTGCAGATGATATTGTTTGCATGCGGGTAAAGTTGCAGGAGCTCAGAAGTCGCTGTCTGTGCACTCAGTTCACTGTTGGCGGATATCTGCGGTGCACGTAAACTTGCAGCGTAAACATACTTACAGACTATCCGTGAGCACGTTCCGAAATGGAGCTGAAGAGCGTGTGTCGTATGCTTCTTTTCCCGGTTCAAATCCTCTACTGTATAGTAAGAGC